AATTTGAGGGAAGAAACTGAAGTACCTTCTGAATCTAATGTTCCTCTAGAGGAACCAAATATTGTTAATGAGAGGGAAGAAACTGAAGTACCTTATGGATCTAAGGTTCCTCTAGAGGAGCCAAATATTGATAATGAGTTATTTAAAGCACCCTCATCTCCAGTTAACTCACCAACTAAAACAACACCAGAAAGAAGTCAAACAGAAGCCCTGCAATTGAGACAACCGTCGACATCATATGCGGTTCCATCTCCATTTAAAAGAGCTCTATTTTGGCCTGAGCCCAAACAGTCAAAGCAATTAAAACGAGCTAAAAAAGAAAAAGTACCTTCAGTTATTACTGCAAAACAATGGCAAGAATATCATGAGAAAAAACAAATGGAAAAAACAGTACAAGAGGAAAATAAAAAACTAAGGGCGGAGGAAAGAAAACGAAAAAAAGAAGTACGAGAAAAAATAAAAAAAGAAAAAGAAGAAAAAATGCAACTTCTAGGAAATAAAAGAAAAACTCACAAAAGAAAAGTATTTACTTCTTCAGATTCAGAGACTTGTGAAGAATGGCAAGAGTCTGGTGATAGCCTTGATGATATCAGTTTTGTGTGGAATGGTACAAACAATATTGAACAAAAAGATAAAGTGTGTGACACAGAAAAAGATACAAATTTAGATTTTAAAATTGAAGAACGTAATACAGACTTGACGACTGAAAATGTACCTAACAATGGACAAAACTCCACACAAGTGTATAAAGAAGGTGACTACATTCTTGTATCATTTCCAGGTAAAAAGAAAGAATATAAATTTGTGTGTGTTATTCAAGAAGTGTACAACAATGATGAAGTTGAAGTGGTAGGTATGACGGCTTGTAATGAAACAAAAACTGTATTTAAGTTGAATGAGAAGGACATAAGTTTCATTAATTTTTCCCAAATCCTTGAGAAGTTAGAATTTCCCAATATAACTTGTGCTGGAGATCGATTAAAATATGAATTTAAGAAAAAGCTTGAAGTTGATGGATAGTTAAAATATTGTCAATTACTGGATCCTGTAGGTGTCAACTACTGGAATTTTGAAAATATTACATGTCATCTACTGGTTCATTTGCAACCTGTAAGAAAATCTAACATGTTTTGTTTAATATTACATTTTGTACATATTTTTAGTTAGTTTCTTATTTTACAAACATTAACAACTATCCTGAGACATAGATAATAAAAATATTTAAATCTGTAACTGTTTTATTGTCAGATTTGTATAAATTTTTTCTTAAGGTGTCAACTACTGGTTCCGTTACCTTATGTTTGAAAAAGTAAATTATGTTTTACAATGTGGACAAAAACTGATGATATAGAAAAGCATCCTTAGTTAAATGTTTTGTCATCAATTAAAATAAGTTATGCATGTGTTATTTAAATTAATATACCTACATGCTTTTTATATAAACAGTATGATTCAAAGGACATAGGAGTGACATCTGAATATTTATTAAACAAATTCCATTGACTATATTTTTAAATTAAGACAGAAAAACTAAATATCACTAAAAATGCCATTTTTATTTAAACAAAATAAGACATTAAACCAAAATAGATGTTAAACACAGAAGAATAACCTATATAAGTTACAAAAAAAAATGGATATGTTGTGTTCACAAATAATAGGAAAAATTCTTAGTATAGTATATTCCAGATTTCTTATATTCTATCCTGTCTTTTATGACAAACTTCCTGTAAATTATTTAAATTTTTTGATGTGAGTTTACCAATGTTAGTTTCAAAAATTATTTGTCAATTTGCCAATGAGACTTGAAAATTTGCAATTAAGGCAATCCGCGGAAAAAGGGCCCATAATCGTATGGGCCGTTTTTCCGCAGATCGTTTAATTCGATCCGCCATGATGTAAAGTTCATTTCGGCCAAGTTTGGCAACAATGTCTCAAACCTGTGTCATTCAATAAACAAAACACTTGTGTTCGCGTCCGTTGTTCGTTTGCTTGTCGTTAACGTAAGGGTGTTTATTGAGATTTAAAAATGAATTCTGACGAAGAGGTAGTTAGACAAAAGTTGACAAGATGTAAGATTAATGTGACTCGAGAAAAAAGAAAAATTAAAAGACAATAAGGTAAAATATACGTCACCTCGGCAGGTCGCGATGTTGCAGATAAGTTATTTCAGTTAATCATAAATTGCTGCCTGGACAAATGTTTTACCCGTTTAAGTGTCGATGATCAAAAACGTTTCAACACTTTTATTTACAAGCAAAGTCTCAACAGGACTATTTGTTGGCTCAGTGTATGAAAAAACTTATAGACCGTAAACGACTCAAGAATAATCCAAAAGTTTTACGAGCGTATACATGGGAATATTCCGTGTCTCAAAAGGGTGACAGAATAAAAACATGTCGGACCATGATCCAAAAACTTTTTCTGGTATCTGTGAAGAGCATTCATGTAGTACAAAAGAAGGTAATTGAGGGGGATTCATTTACAAAAAAACGAGGGCACATGCCAACAGATCCCAAAAATTGGCTCTCAACATTCATGACTTGCTTTAAGAGGATTTGGAAACTATTCCGTTTAAGAAAAAGTTATTATTCCCAACAAAAATCCGAACTAAAATATTTTGAGAATCCCAAATTAAATATTAAAAAGCTGCACAAATCTGCGCAAAAAAAGACATGCACAAATCTAAAGATGAAATACAAGACATACTTTCAGTATTTTAAGTCACTGCGTTCATACAGATTCAACAATTCCAAAACAGATGTATGTGATTTCTGCACAGAATGTAAACAAAAACTATATATTAATCCTAACTATGCCTGTGCAATTTCCTATCGCCTTCACAATGTGAAAGTAAAGCGACATATAGCAATGGGAAGGAATCTTATAGAAAGAAGTAAAACTGACAGTAGTTGCCTTGTTATTGAATTTGACAATGGACAGAATCTACTAGTCCCGAAACTCAATGTAACAGTGCAGTCTTATAAACGTCTACTTGGGTGTTATCTCTTTAATATACATATTCACAATGATAGGTCATCTTTCATGTATCCATTTAAGAAAGGACAAAAAAAAAGGGGCTGATTCTGTTATTTCATTCGTCTATGACTGCTTGTGCAAAAATATTAATGGTGATGTCACTGTCGTATTTTTGTCGGATGCGTGTGGACAAAATAAGAACATTTCAATTAATAGCAATTAATAGTAAAATTTGGAATGTGGCTAGCACACAAGTTTAACGTCAATATTCGATATATATTTTCAGTTTGTTGCCATCCCTTTAACCAGTACGATCGCAATTTTGGGCTGGTAAAGTCATCTTTAAAAAAGAAGGAATACATAGGGATGGCAAAGCTATAGTTGGAAGCAATAGTGCATTGTCAGAAAAACCCATCTCATTTTAATGTTGTCATGGACAGAACACTAATCAAAAATTGGACTGAACGTTGGGAAGGATTCTAAATAAGCTAAAAACAAAGGGACTTGTTTCCAGCATTCAACAGTATGTACAAATGAAATACAAAAAAGATGGAACACTGGCTTGTTCTCAAACATACAAGGAAAATTACATAAAATTCACAATTTGGAAAGGAAGAAACATAAACACATACATTTCTTTTCAAACTAGAGATCTATTTTCGTTTTTGTCACAAGAAGATGAACAATGGATATGCTAGATACTAGAAGAAGTTTCTGTATAACTTTCTTTATATAATAATAACTTGTTTTAATGTTTATTTCTTATGTCATTTACATCATTATTTCATACTTTCACAAATGATCTGTGGAAAAAGGGCCCATGACAAGCTAATGTAAAAAATTATATTTACATAAAAATGTGTCTATATCTTTGAAACATCTTATTATACAATACTTTTATTTTAGCTTTCAAAAAAGTTCAAAGTTTTAATCTTTGTTTTCAAAATACCTACTTGTTAAATTTTCAATTGTGGTTTTCTCAAAAGTGCCATTTGGCATATGGGCCTTTTTTCCGGGGATGGCCTCAATTATTTATGAACTAAAATAAGAATTACTACAGTTTTTCTACCACTGAATTCATATTTTCTTTATTGTTTAGAAGTACTTAATCTATTTATTTTTGCATATTTTCTATTTACTTGTTTTTTTGGTTCTTTTTCTCTTCTGAGTTAAAAAAATCTTTCTTATATTCATTTTGGTCAACATTTTTTATTCTCATTTGACCTTCCTATGTTTTATTATGTTTTAGTATTGTATTAATACATTTTGGCACATTTCTTGTTTCAGTTAACTTCTGTAATCCTACACAATTCAAAATATAAAGTTTGGTGATTTCTTGCCAATTTGATACTATATTCAAGAAATTCTTTATTATTTTGTATAAAATATTTAATTTCTGTTGTTTTCTCTCTGTAATGAACTATGCTATGAAAACATTTAATTAGAATGGTATTTTGTTCCTAAATTATTCTTTATTTTTATCACTCAGTGAACCAAATAAGAAAAATGTAGGTAGGTACCATCTACATGAAGAAAGGATCTCTTTAATTGTAGTATGTTTTTCTGTAGCTTGCAACTACTATTTAATTGTTGAACACATTAGAAGAATTTAAAAATGTTTCAGTATTGTATTTTATGTAAAACTCGTCATTAAAATTAAACCCAGAAGAGATACTAATACAAAATAATTAATATTTACAAACAAATACCAAACAAGTTATTATTGGTAATTTAAAAGTAATTTTTGAACAAATTATACTAAAATATTCATAGCAATATCTACTAAAAGCTACTTTAGTATCAGATACCGATGTACTAGTATGTACTTTTCAAGGAAACAGTATAATGTTACAGATAAATTATTATGCTATTAATATTTCATAAAATCAATAACAAATACATCTAGTGTTGTTATTTATTAATTTAATTATAGTGTGTAATCCCATTATTGCTTTCACTGATAATGAGATATAATAATATTGTTAATGATTGTTTTGAGGTCGATTTTATGCAAAACTCACCTTCTATGCACACTACATGATCCCTGATCTGTTGTGCTATGAGTCCATCAGGTATAACATCAATCAAATCGTAAATGGCATAAATACTAGGATGGACACTTTCGAATCTTTGAATCTCCTGCCTGATGGACACTGAATTGTTCAAAAAAGGCTGTACGTGAGCACGAGAGTTCATCTTTCACTAATATCCTTATTATTGCTAACGTAAACTGCTATTGTAAACATTATAAAAACATTGACGATTGTTGTTTCGATTGAAGTCACTTCGCGAGGGTGAAAGTTTGGGCGTCGAGCTTATGAAAAACATTCCTTTTTCGAAACGTTTGTATTTTCGCGATTATAAACAAAAGTTATAAAAAAATTATTAGGTTAGGTGTAGACAGTTCCTTTCACTCCCACCACTGTAGAGGCAGGCACCGTTACCACATATTTTGCTAGCCAGCGACGATGTGAGCAACAACCGAACTAGGCATGTTATTGAACAGTCAGTCCAACCATCTTATAGGAATCTACTGAAAACACCTAAAATCTAATTAATAAGTTCGTAAAGTATTAACAGATGGCAAAAGCCGACAAGATATACAGGATGAAATGTGTGAATGGATAATAATAATTAAAATTTTTATTTTATTTATTTTTTTTATTATTATATTTTAGAGCGCAAATAAATATAATATATTTTTTAATGTTAATGCAATTTTAAGTAATTTTGTTGTATCCATAATATTCTATATAGTAGAAATAGCCTATGATGTCTATACGGGATGCAAAATAATATCAAATATTTTAAATGGTGTATAAAACAAGATTGAAAATAATTTAAAGAACCAAATTTTTTTATCGCTTAATATCTGGCTTAAGTGAAATTTTTCAAAGAGAGTATAAAAATAAATCCACGAATATGCGCAATTCAAAATGTAAACGTATCAAAGAAAATAAGTAAGGTACTAAAATAACTATTTGAGCCTTATTTTGAACAACGAGAGGTAAAAGCAAATGTTTTTTCTTTTCTTCGCCTTTTTAAAACTTTAGGCATTTTGAAGCCTTATCTCTTATCATTAGAGTTTTCTATTTTATTATTCTTCTGATAATTTCCTTAATTTGATTTTAATACTTTTTGACCTCCCTCTTCCAGTTCTCTTGATCCACTTTCTTTAAATATTTATTGTCAATCTTTTAGGAATCACTGTTTTGTCCATATTATCTCAAATGGGTCTGTTATTTGTTTTGTTGTATATTTATATTTCAGAGGAGTCGTTTGCCTTGTTAATTTTTGCACACCGCGACCTGAAAAATCTTTTGTGTATATCTACGTTTACAACAACATATCTAGATTTTTCTTCTTCTAGTCTCATATGGCTATTTTAGTTTTATTTCCTGCTGCTTTAAATAACCAGGGGTAGATATTGAAAATCATTTACTAAGATTTTGTTTCTCTCCCCCTCTCTCTCTTTTTCTTCTTTCTCCCTCCCTTTCTTTTTCCCTCGTTTTCTTACTGTCTCTCTCCCTCCCTCTCTCAGTACTATCTCTCTCTCTCTCTCTCTCTCTCTCTCTCTCTCTCTCTCTCTCTCTCTCTCTCTCTCTCTCTCTCTCTCTCTCTCTCTCTCTCTCTATTTCTCTTATTCTGCATCATGTCAAGGATCGTGATTTCCTCTGTGAAACTGAAGTGAAGTGATAATTGAAGCTGTCTACTATCTGGTATTCTTGTAAGTTGTTACTCCGTCTTATCTTTATTAATTTTAGGACCAATTTTAATGCTTTCCTATTCAGATCTTTGTAGCAAATCTAGCATTTCTTGTTCATTTGCTGTTATAAGCGAAGTGTCATCAGAAAATCATAAATTGGAGATTTTTCTATCAGCCACCGGTACTCCATAGACCTATCCCTCTAAAGCCATCCTCATGGCGTATGGCATGTTCACCATAAATATTAAATTAGTATCAGGTGAAGAACGCATCCTTGTCTAATCCTTGTCTCTGCTCTGAACTGGCCTGAGAACTTTTGATCTTCTCGTGCTGTTGTTATAATGAACTGGTATAGATTTTTAATGTCACCAGGTGTATCGGGCTATCGGTGTCATTGTTAAAATAGACCAAAGATTTATCTAGCTTACAGAATCAAATGCATTCTGGTATTCAACAAAGAATATTATGGATACTTGAAATTCTCTTGATTTTTTAATCCCCTTGAGAAACCACCTTGTTGTAGTAACAAAGAATTTTATGGGTACGTACTTAAAATTCTCTCGATTTTTCAACTCCCTTTTCGAACTCCCTTGTTCCTACGGTATTTGATGATGTAGTTAGGTTTTTAGTCTGTTTTTGATGATATGCAAAAAGATTTTACTGGCATGTATTATTAGTGACGAAGGAAATTAGAAAAGTGTACCTGATATCAAGCATAAAGCAAATTATTCCTTAAATCTTCTATAAGAATTTAACTTTATAAAGAAATCCATCCAAATATTCCACTTCCTCCAGAACCTGTTCTAACACGATGGGGAACATGGTTGGAAGCCGCATTTTTGTATTCAGAATATTTCGTAGATTTAAAAAATACAATTGATACTTTAACGGATGAAAGTTCCCAATCTCTGCTAGATGATAAACACACTTTTAAAAACAACGTTCTTCAGCCGCAACTTTCATTCATTAGATCTTTGCTTTTACTTCAAAAAACTTTTATAAGCCTTATATCATAGCCTTAATAAAAGAAATTAGATCAGCTTGTCAAAATGTTAAAGGTGACACAAACAATATTTAAAAAAAAAAACAATGGTTTTCAGAAACTTCTTGAGGCAGCTGACGTTCTTGTTGGTAAATTTTTGTGAAGAAATAGATTTAGAACCAAATATTTTTGTGAATTTAACATATGCTTCCATTACATCCGTTGATGTTAAAAGAAGTTTCTTAATTTACAAAGATATGTACACAGATACAAGCAATAAGTTTTTATTGGAAAATTTTGAAAAACATTTGGTCATTTGTTGTTTCCATAATTCTAAGAAATAGTATTTAACTTTTTTGCTACTTTCATTATAATTAATTAGTACATTACAAATACCTACTTGGTTTTTAAATTTATTTATATTGTTTTCTAATTATTAAACTAAACAATAATTAATATACCATTATTAAATATATATGGTAAAACCAAGACTCACCGAACAAGGTGGGTCTTGGTTTTTATTGTCAAATCATGTATCTTAAAAATTATGCTCATATTAACAAATGCTGCTCTAGCCTTCTCTCTGCTCTGTTTAGTTTCACGTAAATGATCCCACTGATAGTTTATAATGGTACCTTGATACATATAGCTGTTAACTTGTGTTATTAGCTGCATATTGATTATTCATTGTTTTGATTTACTGAGGGCTAGTTTATATATTGAAGAAGGAATCAAAATCTACAGACAATACGTAAACAACTTAAGATACGCAGACGACACCGTCATTATTGTGGACAGTTCTGAGGGTTTACAATGACTTTTGAATGCCATAATCAGAGAGGGAGATAGCTTGGGACTAAATGTAAACACAAATAAATCAAAAGTAATGGTTGTTACACGTTTACCAAATATCGACATTAATATTCGTGTCTATAACAAACATATGAAACCAGTACAAAGATTCCAGTATCTTGGTTGCTGGATAACAAACGATTTTGACCACGAAGTCGAAATACGTGCTCGTATAGAATATGCTACGTCCGCATTAATAAACTCTACTTTATCGTTGGATATCCGATATCAATTTGTAAAAACGTTTATTTATTTCATATTGCTATACGAAGTGGAAACATGGACTCTCGGAAATACACGTATGAGGCGTATACAAGCCTTTGAGATGTAGGTTTTTCGAAGGAAGATCTCTTGGACAGAGCACGTGACCAACAACGAGGTGCTAAGAAGAATGAGTACTGAGAGAGAAGTCCTAAATATTGTAAAAACAGAAAAACGAGTTATCTAAGACATGTTTTATATCTAGGACATATTTTATAAACTACCACCGAGGAGATTGTATACATGGAAGGCACCAGCAGATAAACCCCATAACGTAATTAGAAACCAGATATATTATATATTGGTAAATAGAAGATTCAGAAACAGTTTTAAATCTGTCAAAACATATCCAGGAGCGGACATTGAATCTGACCACAAACCTTTAGTGGGAGTCATGGATGTGAGACTGAAGACAATAAAGAAAAAGTCTAGACCTAACTACAACATGACCGACCTGCAACATCCGAAAGTTAAAAAGCAAGTGGGGGAATATATTAACAACCAAGTTAAACAACTAAAAGAAGAAAATAACATCCAACGAAAAATCAATCAATTCGAAGAAATAATTAAGAAAACTAAACAAGATCTGCTAAAACCAAACAAAGAAACAAAGAAGAAATCTTGGATGACTCCAGAAATCCTTCACTTAATGGAACGCAGAAGGTTAATTAAAGGAAATAAAGATGAGTATAAAAAAATGCAGGCTTACATCAGAAGAAAAATAAGAGAAGCTAAAGAAAAAGAAGCTGTAGAGAAATGTAAAGAAATAGAAAGACTACAAGCCAAGCATGACAATTTTAATGTACACCAAAAGGTAAAAGAAATAACGGGTACTTTTAAAAAGTAAACACAAATGAAACTCATAGACACCAATGGAAAATTAATCATTGACACCCAAGAGATGAAAGACAAATGGAGAATATATTTGGAGATACTTTTTTAAGATCAAAGAACGGATTATAGGCATCCATTTTGAGAGAGGATGACGGGACCGGACATACTTAAATCCGAGGTAGAAGAAGCAATAAAACGGATAAAAAGCGGGAAAGCTGTAGGGCCTGATAATATTGAAGCTGAATTTTTAAAACTCTTGAAGAAAGCAGGAATAAATTGGATCACGGCTGTCTTCAATAAAATATACAATACAGGAATCATCCCTGATAAATGGCTAGAATCAGAATTCATAGCGATACCTAAAAAACAGGGGGCTAAAAAGTGCGAAGAATATCGAACAATCAGCCTAATGAGCCACATGTTGAAACTGTTTCTTAGAGTCATCCATGGAAGAATTTATAAGGAGTGCGAGGAACAAATATCGGACAGACAGTTTGGCTTCATTAACGCAGTGGGTACTAGAGAGAGGCACTTTTCGGAGTAAAGGTACTGATTCAAAGA